GTGTCAGGTCTCGGGGCGGGGGGGGGGGGGCAGGCTGGCTAACAAGTTTTGAATCTGAGTGGGTGCTGCTACCTGAAAAGCAGCTCTACACATTGGGAAGAATTAATTTAACGTATTATGTAAAAGGTAGGAGGATGCACAATCCCTCTCCTTGCCCCTCTTAGAATAACAAAATGGGAACACGAACAGACTTGTACTGCAGTAGCTAAAAGTTCTTTTAATCTTCCATGAAGAGTCAAAGACTAAATTCACCAAGCCCATCCACTGGGTAGGAAAACAGTGAACTAAAGTCCCAGTGTAACCATATTACAGGCATCTAAAACAGATATGTTTCTTTAACAAAATACTGGATACTTTTTTAAAAGTTGGTGTTTTTATTTGCTGTAGAACACAGGATGGCCATAAACGTATACATATGTAGGCATCTGAGAACACTAGCTGCAGAAACTATAATGTGCCCGGAGTCCCGTCTAGGAACTGATCCTAGGAAAAGCTGAAGGCAGCAGGAAAAGAGGAAGACCCAGCATGAGATGGGTTGACTTTATCAAAGAAGCCATGGCCCCCAGTTTGCAAGATCTGAGCGAGGCTGTTAACGATGGGATGTTTTGGAGGACATTAATTCATAGGGTTGCCATAAGTCTGAAACGACTTGATGGCACTTAACACACATACAGGGAATCCCTCTGGCAAGGAAATGTCTATGGTACTTGGGGCTCCCCCCCCCATGGGAGGGAGCTCGCCAGAATGGAGTTCCGGAACCTCTTTGACAAAAGTCTTTTAAAAAAATGTTTAAATTCATTATTTTTCAGTATACAGATTGAAAACTTCATTTCCCTCTTGAGAGTTTCGGCACCTGTCCCCCCCCCCCCCAAAAAGCCCCGATGGTACTCATGTCAGCAAAGTATCAGATTTGGCCTTGGTTTCTAGGATCCTTTCTAAAGGCTTTGCCCTTGTAATACTTCGGCATGCAACTTGCTACACATTGGCTGCATTGATACTCAAGGCAAGTTGATAACAGCATCATGGCTTCCGTTTTTATTCCTGGTAGACCCAAAATATAACCTACCTAGCCACTGCTGAGTCTTACTGTCACTCGCTTCTAGCTGGCTGCGTATTGCCCATTATCCTTAGATGTGTGGACACAAATGGTCTTCTGAAGTGGGACAAGTTATTTTTCCATTTTGGTTACAGCTCAGCAGGTCCTGCCAAGAACTAGAAGCATGAAGTTCTCCCGTGGTCAAATCCACAAACCAGATTTCTCCAAACAAGGAAACTACTTACATAAGAACATAAGAGAAGCCATGTTGGATCAGGCCAACGGCCCATCCAGTCCAACACTCTGTGTCACACAGTGGCCAAAGCCACTTGGTTGTCACCTTAAAACAAAACTGGAGTGTGACTTGTAGGGTTTCTTTAACTTTGTCTGAACAAGTACATTGCTTACCAGTTCTGCAATCTAAACTTCATACTGTGTGTGTGTGTGTGTGTGTTTTCATTTCCAACTCCAATTGCCGATGTGTGCACTACAGGTCGTAGTCTCCAACCGACTGGTGACTTCTCCGTGTTGTATTGTGACCGCTTCGCATGGCTGGACTGCCAATATGGAAAGGATCCTGAAAGTGCAAGCATTAGAGTCCAGCGGCATAATGGATTACGTGTCTACAAGAAAATACATGGAAATAAACCCCGATGATGACATTATTGAGATACTGAGGCAGAAGGCAGAAGCTGATGAGAATGACAAGGGCTTGGGGGACCTGGTCATCCTTCTGTATGATACAGCTCTCCTGTCTTCTGGCTTCACTCTGGAGAATCCCCAGATACATGTTAACCGTATCTATAAAATAATCAGATATGGTCTAGGTAAGTGAGATGCCAGTCCTTATTACACTACAGAGATAACCAGTCATGCGGAAAAGGCCGTGGCTCAAAGTTATAGCATACTTTTTTCATGCGAAAGGCCCCAGCTTCAATCCTTGGCATCTCAGGGTTTTGGGAGACCTCTCGGAGGCCAGAATAAATACAGAGAAAAATGTGGTTCAGTGACTGTACTCTGTAGAAGCCTCTGCAAGGGTGGGGGGATCGATTAAAATGATCCAACCCTCCCCCCCCGCAAGCCAGATTAATCTGAATAGCTTTCTGATGGCTCTAAGGGATTTTCCTTTTGATATGGTCGGTGCTTCCATTGATGCCCCGGTCAGTTTCTGGAAGGACAAAGCAACCCAGGTGGCTGACATGATCGCTCCCAGGTACCCCTTTTCAAGTGCTAGAACCAGGAAGGGACTCGATGTACTGAGGGGCTGCAGGCTATGAAAAGACAAGGGAGGCGACTAGAGTGACATCGGAGGAAGACTCGGGACAAACCCAATAAGACCCGAGTGAAAGCTCATTTTAATGCGTATTCCATGGAGGTGATGGCAGCAAAGGAACAACACTTTTCTGCCACTGTTCTGTTTAAACTGTGTAGGCCAGCAAAGCTGTTCCAGGTGGCCGTAGGTGTGGATCTGGCATGCAGGAGGATGCGGATTTCTCAGTGGCCCACTGTCAAGGGTTTGCCCAGCACTTTGCAGATAAAATCTCTCACATCTATTTTGATTCGGACTCTATATTAGCAGCGATGGGGTTAGGTGGAGCCAGGATGCAGACCTCTCCAGTTGCTTGGGATGTTCCTCAGTTTATTCATTCTGAGGATCTGGATAGGATCTTTGGGAATTTGAGGTCTACCTCCAGTTTGTATGACCTAAGTAAATGTGCCAGTCAGGGTGGAGGCTGGTTGACCAGATCTGAGAGGCCTTCTTGAGGGACGGAGTGGTTGCCCCAGTCTTGAAACAGGCAGTGGTGTGTCCACCTCGAAAGAAGCCTACTCTTGACTCAGGGCTCTCAGTAATTATCAGCCAGTTCAAAATGTTCCATTCTTGAACAAGGTGATTGAACGGAAGATGGCTTTAGGATTTCCTGGAGCAGGTCAATTGTTTTAGATCCTTTCCAGTCAGCTTTCGGATTGGTTATGGGACTTGGTCACACTGGTGGATGACTTGCACCAGGAGATGGACAGAGGGAGTATGACTTTGTTGATTCTCCTGGACCTCTCAGCGGCTTTCAGTACTACTCGTCATGGTATCCTTCTGGACCACCTTTCCAGGCTGGGACTAAGAGGCACCATTTTGCTGTGGTTCTGGTCCTACCTGGAAAGTAGCTTTCAGAAGGTGGTCTTGAAGACCTGCTGCTCAGCCCCTTGGCCTATGGGGTCCCACAAGATTCCACCTTGTTCTCTGTGCTGGTTGATATTTACATGAAACTGATGGGTGGGGTCATCTGGAAATCTGGGCTGGGCTGCCACCAATATGTGGATAGAGAATAGTCGATGGCAACTGTGATATATTTATGAAGGGAATATCACTCTTTTATAGATTTTTAAAAAACAGATCAGTATTAATATTAATACATCTCTGTATATTCATACAAGAATAAGCATCAAAAATTATTCCACAATGTTGACAAGCACAGTCCAATAATCTAAAGTTCTTGCAAACAGTAAATCTTCTTTGTGTCTTTCTTGTACTAATGTTGGATTACAGACAAATAGCATAAAGGCTATTTCACCTGTTTCATAAGGCTTCTTCTGAGCAGAATACGTATAGACTTAATGAATCCTTTCCTACTCTGTAAGAACTTTAGATTATTGGACTGTGCTTGTCAACATCGTGGAATCATTTTTTGATGTTTATTCTTGTATGTATGTACAGAAATGTATCAGTATTAGTATTAATACTGATCTATTTGTTGAAAATCTATTTAAAAAAGTGATATACCCTTTGTAAATATATCACTCACTGATTCTGTGATCTCTCTTTGGTTATCCTTACCAATACATGGATGACAGCTCTGTCTTGTAGTTCCAGTTAATCCCAGGGAGGCTGTAGAAACCCTTAACCAGAGGAAGTTTTGGAATAGATGATGCAGGCTAATAAAATGAAGCTTAACCACAACAATTAGGTAGTGCTAGTAGCAGGGGTCATTTCCTGCAGGAGCGCACAGGAGTGGAGCTCCGGCAGTAAAGAGCCCAGGAGGCGGGCACATGCAACAAGCCCCGCCCCCTGCTCCCAGCAGCCCTCAGTCACAGCAAGAAGCAGCCAGGTAAGTTGCAGAGCCCCCCCCCCCGGTCCAAAACAGTCCAGTGGCACCTTTAAGACCAAGTTTTATTCAGGTACAAGCTCTCCCTCCTCTGCGAGGACAGATCTGCACGTTCCCCCCCCCCAATAGCTGGCAATCCAAAACAGTCCAGTGGAGCCTGAGTGGTGGGGGTTGCCTTCTGACACACTTCTGGTGATGTCAGGGGGTGTGACATATGCAAATAAGTTATGCTAATGAGCTCCTGCACCTTCTTTTTTACGAAATGACCCCTGGCTAGTAGTAAGTGGAAGGTCTGACCTGGAAGTGCTACTAGTAAGTGGAAGGTCCAGCCTATTACTAGTAAGTGGAAGGGCTGACTAAATGAAGATTCAAAGATAATGCTGACTGGCCCTGTCTTCCCACACAGGCGTTGGGGAACCAACACAAGCATCTGGTCCTGCAGCATCTGAGAAGACAGTGTCATTTAAAGAGGCTTAAAAAATGGAAGAAGTTGATTAGAAATTACTTGATCAGCTCCTACTGTTCTGAACGTTTGCTATACGACATACCTGTGCCATAAACGTGTTTTATCTCTGCCAATCCTGGTCTTGCCAATCCTGGTCTTGTCAGCTGGTATTAACTAAAGCTGCTACTAATCCTTTGCTTTATGCTGTTGGACTATTATCAATGGTGCTGGAGGCAAGCAGCTAAACATGTTCCCCTTTTGAGCTTATTTTAATAAATGATAAACAGGCTCAACGTGGCTTTCAGCCTAATCATTAAACAGCACTTGCAGTCCCAACTCTACACAAGGAATGTATCTGGTGTCCAGTGCAGAAATATGTTTTGTACAGTTTTAAGGTTAAGCAATGTTAGAAGCGTCTGTCTACTGAAATCCTAAATAAAATGTCTGCATATTGAACAGTCTCCACTTGATAATTATACCAGATTAAACTGCTGTTGGCTCTGCAGCATCTATTCTGGCTGAAGAAAAATACCGGAAATTTAACCTTGTGGTGACCAAATAATCTAACCATTTTCCCATTCTCTGCAATTTTATTTTTATTTTATTTATTTATTAGACTTATATCCCGCCCTTCTACATGGGCTCAGGGCGGCTAACAAGAGGCAAATGCCAACAATAAAACAATCAAATTACATTTTACATTTAAAATCAGTGCTCACATAATATCATCCGAGGCGGGGACTCCAATACAATGTTTCAGGGGGCACTACTGTCTCTTCTTGATCGGTCTACACCATGTCCATTCTTCATTCCCAAAGCCAGTTCACATCGCCCAGATGGCAACGCGGTGGTGGTACAGTGACAGTGGCGGCTTCTACTCAAAAGCCTGGCGGAAGAGCTCCGTCTCGCAGGCCCTGAAGAACTGCGTAAGGTCCCGCAGGGCCCTGGTCTCCTCAGGGAGCTCGTTCCACCAGATAGGAGCCACCACCGAAAAAGCCCTGGCCCTAGTCACAGCATATTTAACATCTCTAGGGGCTGGGACGACCAAAAGATGTTTTGCCCCAAACCGTAGTGCCCTTGGGGGAACATATGGGGAAAGGCAGTCCCTTGGGTAAGCTGGACCCTGGGAAGCAGTACAGACTTGTTACATGTGTGTTTCCTATGCCTTGAGCCCTACTGTTCATGCATCTAACCCTTTCCCCCCCTTGTAGGCAACTTCCACAAGCATCTATTTCTGTGATCTGTTCTGTAAATGGCAGTAATACAGTACAAACTTTCCTCCTTGCTTGGGTTCTATCGCTCTGCTTTCACCAGGTAGAAAGCTAGAGGCACTGTGAGAAGGAACTGGCTGACTTCAACATAAGCCTTCACAGAAATGCAAAGGGCCATATGCTCTGCCTGTTTGGGGGGGGGGGCAGTAAAGTGAGTTGTATGTTGTCAGTTTAATAGATCTATGCATGTGGCCTTATCTGCTGGCACTTTCAGAAGAGCATAGTTCGCTCTGCCCATTTCTGTTGTCACAGCAGTGCCAACTCAACTTCATTTGGCTATTCCATAAACTATGTAAGACTTGAAAGTAGCCACTCATTTTGTTCTCCTGCATTGTGGCTTCAGCCTGGGTGGGAATTATTAGCTTGCAACTAAATAATCTGCCAGTAACTAAATAATCTGCCAGTGGGGTGCAAGATGAAGCTTGCTGTAAACCTCTCATCTAGTCATAATGTCTATGTGATATGATTATGTAAGAATTATGTTGTTAGGCCCTGCCATTGAGGGCTTTCCAGAGCCTGTGTGCTATAGTTTGCTACAATCCTTCACAAAACTGTTTTTGTCAAGACCTTTTTGGATCAGTAATTGGCACATCACTATGGTGTTATAACTAGCTATTGCCGTGATCTACTAGTTTCCAGCTTTTGTTTTTTTTAAAAGATGCCTATAGTTCTTCAGCCCAAAAAAAGGTTAGGTTCTTGTTTCTTTAAAAGTAAAGGCTGGAAATGAACACACTGTGGCAGTATATTCTTATACTGTTATAATGTTATAAGGGTTGGAACTTGAAGGGATTGAATACAAAGTGTCTATCCCACACTCGCCTCAACAAAATGGATCTTCTGAAAAGCTGAACAATAACAACCTTGCAATTTCTGTTTCTTCCCCCTCTGGTGGCAGTGGGGGTGATAAGGCAAGGAAAGTAGAGGGGAATACTGGTGTGTAGCTACTCTTTTGCCCCAGCAATGAGGTCTATATAGAGAACTGCCTCTCTGTGAAAGCAGACTTTTTGGATCTGTGGGCACT